ATTATGACCTATATATACGATACTACCTACAACACTAGACACATTGATATTTTCAATTACATCTTCAAATTTTTGCTCATAACTAAGCTTACCAACCCACTCGTCCATATTTATAGATTCCAAGCTTACTATATACAACTTTTTAATTATCATAATCAAGCAAAAGGTGTATTGACTCACTTTTCTCATAACATATTTTAACAACCTTTCTATCACATAACATATTAAGAATAGATAAAAAACTAACATCATTCTTAGCTTTCTTAAAACTCTATTCAAAACTTAATTTATGGTCAATTTTCCTATAATACACGATCTTACATTTCTCATGGCCATGTTAGCCATACCTAATAGTCTTTTAAATTATATTAAGTTAGGATCTATATTTTTTTTTCTCAATTACCTTCCTTTCACCAAAACACAAACTATGCTCTCTTTGTAATCCAACCCCAAAGTGAAGTCTTAATATAAACATTTCATTTGATACATCAATTTAGGAGACATAAAGGCAAGCAAATAAAAAACAAAGCAAAAATTAGAGAATCTCGAGATGTTATGTCTAGGATCACATAATACTATTGACAATTTTTGAAAGCCAACAATTTCATATTCAACAAACAAATATAAAACTCATTCAATAAACAACAATATTGATAAAACCCATATACTATTTTGTTGAAAACTGACATCTTAAAGAAATTCGAAAAGATTCAAGATTGTTTACCCAATTTTATATTAAATAAATAAATATAAAAACCATTTAATAAACAACAACAATAAGAAAAATCCATATACCAATCAATCAAAAGCTGACAACTTAAAAACATTCGAAAAGTTTTGAGATTGCTTACTTGATTTAAACCTATAACAAAAAGATGAGAATGACAGAAGAGGATGGATAGATACAAGTGGTCCCAATATTGTTCTTCACTTATCAAAGTAATAAAAAAATTAGGATTTTTTAGATTAAAATTGATTTGAACATTAAGGTTTTTTTATTGATCGAGAACGAAGGAGACGAAGCGAACAAAGAGAGAGAAACAACAGCTCTCTCTCTCTCTCTCTCTCTATTTAGTTCAAGGTTAGTAAGGTGAGGAAAATGTAGTCTTGTTTCTTCTTTTTCAAAAAAACCTTAATGTTTGTTGAATATTAAGATTATTTTAAGGCTTTTTGTTTTTAAGTTCGGACATGTACTCGAAATAATTAAGGCCCACATCGTCGTGTCAATACTTGATTGATTATTATTAGTTTTTAACTTGTTGCGTATGATGAATACTTAATGAGGTTATAATTGAGGGTCCGAATCAATAAATTTATAAGAGTAGAAGATTTTAATCAATCTGAAAAATTGTAAAGGATCTCAATAAAAAAATTCGAATTCTACATGGACCAAATATTGGATAAATCTTTTTTCTTTTATATATATTTATATTAGATACACTTTAAATATCATGTATCATAATATCATGTATTTTAATTAATTAAGTACAATTTAAATATTATATATCATAATTAATACATGCATCATATGGATCACAATTGATTTTATATTCAAAATATATGTATCATAAGGCCACAATCAATTTTACGTTCTTCCACTTGATCCATATAATTATTGTTTGTATCTCGTTGTATCATTATTAAATTGAAAAAATCCATATAATATAGTATGTCACTACTTCGATAGAGTCTCTTTCATGTACCATAATACTAATTTTTGACTTATCATAATGTTTAACGAGGATGATAATAGTCCAACTTTAATATTTGTATTATAAGATTATTCTTATCAACATTATTTTAAAATAATTATGTATTTCCAAATAAAAAATAAAAAATATTAGAAACATATAACTAAGCTCATTAGTCTTTTTGTTATGCTCAAGATTCAAATCATTTCTCAATTTCTTAGTTTTCATCACCCGATTTTAATAAACAATCCATGTTCAGATTAATGCATTCGCCAAAAAAATAAAAAATAAAAAATAAAATTAAGCCAACTGGATCATCACTAGCGGTTTCTTATAAAAGATAAATAATCAATTTGTGCTATTAGTAATCTATTATGTATAACAATTAATAATAATTTCTTAGGAATTTGCCATCACAAGGACTGGAAAAATAAAAGTTATTTAAGAAGATGAAATTTAAAGAAAAAAACAAGAAGAGGATAATACTTTTCCAACTCAAACAACTAAACTACAAAGGTTTGATAAGGTATTTTTAATATGTAATGCTAATGTTACTTGAATTAATGGAAAGATTTTTAGATGCTAGCATTTCACTTCAAAGATTTGTGCTCTCTTTTCTCCTTAGGTAATCTCTCCTGTTTTTAATCTCTTATACCTTCAAATCCAAGTCCTTGTCACGCAAATGGTTAAGATAAGCAGTAATGGTTACAAATCAGGATAAATGAGGAAAATTGTCAAATACCAATCAAACCAGTGACCAAAACGTACCCCTATCCTGTTTGTAAAGTAGTCATGTGCAGCATGCATTGATCTTTAAGTAAAGTTGTGAGAAATCCCATCAGGTTGGAGATACAAACACTCCATTGAAAACAAATTCTTACCAAACAAGAAAACATATTGGAAAAAACTTGTCTACTCTCTAGACTTCCAATAGTCAGAATCCAGAGTGACTGGATAAAGATCAAAAGCAGATGTAGAAGAAGCAGTCCATGGTCCATCCATTGACATACTCTGAGTAGGACTCTCACTTGTGTCCTGCTTTCTGCTGAATTGAAAATGCTTCCTCATTTCTTCAATCTTCTTCTCATCAAATGAGATACTTTTATCTGGAATGTCAAAGTCTTGAACAGCAGCCTTGCCTTCGAGCATGCTTACAACTGAAGACATTGGAGGCCTAGCTGTTGCAGAGACGCTACTGCACAGGAGAGCCACATTAATCATTGTTATCATCTCTTCTTTGTTGTAGTTTTTGCCCAGCCTTGGATCAACAAGCTCCAGTAAAATCCCTTTCTCTTTCAAAACTATTGCCTACAAAACATGATACATACATAATTCAGTACAATAATAATTAAATAATGAAGTCGGTGTCATGTTGTCCGACATTTTTCTGATTTATTGCTAATCCAGTAACATGGAAAATTAACTCAAATACGATGATGCAAGAGAGCAAGAAACATAATATACCCAATCAAGAAGATAAAGAGTGTCCCCCTTTGCACGATGACTAGTATTACTTCTCCCACTAACAATTTCCAAGGCAACAATTCCAAAACTGTAGACATCTGCTTTGTCAGTCAAATGACCCCGCATTGCATATTCAGGTGCCATATACCCACTGCAAAATCAACAATATCAAAGTTCATAATATTTATAAATTTTGGTCGCTGAGCAAATATGTTTGAAGGGGAGTTTTAGGATGATTTTTTTTTCTTTAATTGTATTTAACTAAAGATACGAAAAAACAAAAAAGCATTAACAAGATACTATAGCAGAGAGAACAGACTCACAAGGTTCCGGCAACTCGGGTGCTTATGTGGGTGTTGTCCTCTTCATCAAGCTTGGCTAGACCAAAGTCAGATATCTTTGGGTTTAGATGCTTATCAAGCAGAGCATTAGTGGCCTTGATGTCTCTATGCACAATCTTCAATCTTGATTCTACATGGAGATAAGCCAGGCCTCTTGCTATACCAACACAAATTCTGTGCCTTGTAGGCCAATCCAACTTCAACTGGTATTCTTCAGGACCTTTGAAATCAAATCAGCAGTAATGGTAAATATGGCATTAGCACTTTTTTCCTCCCAAACAAGCATGCCTTTACATGTATGGAAACGTCTAAGAAACCAATAGCCTGCAATCAATTAAATTATGTTCGAATTTACCAAACAAAGCACGAGCAAGGCTGTTATTTTCCATGTACTCATACACCAACAATAATTGATTTCCTTCAATGCAACATCCATGAAGCATTACAAGATGAGGGTGTTGCAGAGCAGAAATCATGCCAATCTCATTCACAAATTCACGGTTTCCTTGTTTTGATTTGGAGGAAAGCTGCTTTACAGCAATTATGGTTCCATCTGATAGAAGGCCCTGCATCAAGGAAATAATGTCATTTTTTCGCAAGATAAATATTGCATTGAACTACGAATCTTGAAAATGTTTCGTAGGCATTGCATTAAGGAAATAAGTACATGCATGTTGCATACCTTGTAAACAGGACCAAAACCTCCTTCTCCAATTTTGTTAGCTGGATCAAAGTTGTTTGTAGCAATTTTAATCTGCCTCAATGTAAATGAACCTGTTTTTAAGTCCAGACCCTTCAAATCTGTTGGAACAGAAAATAATATTAACAGGATGCAGTATTTTGAATTTTTTTTTACTTGTCTTTGACATTTTCTTTGTCAATCTGTTTTGTCATAGCAGCTTTTTTTTTTTTTTTCCCAGTTTCAGTTTATCAGGTTCGATTATATATATATATATATAAATGGTTCTTCAAAGTTGATATGGAGAAATAGTATGCAGAGAAAGCAAAATAAAGATAAAGCTTTAAAAAAATACCGTGATACATCCTGATCTTCTGTCCTAAACAACCTTTCCACCAGAGGATTCCTAGAATCAGGACGATGACAACTACTACTGCAGCCACAATACCAACCACAATGCCGGCAGACGTACTAGTACGACTACTTTTTTCTGATGGAGGTATAAAATCTGCAGGAAGAAAAGGATTTATAACAGAAAGACTAACGACACTCATTGTAAGTCAAATTAGTCGGACAACGCATTATTCATATCTAACTGCAGAAATTGTACTATTTGGAGTAACTTCAAATAGCAGTAAAAGGAAAACAATATCAGTATTGATTTTGGCACTGAAGCAGTATGCGAAGATAGAGTAGGAAAGTTTTCCATTTAGATTCACGAAAATTGCTAAATGCATCTCCCAAATGTCAATAATAAATAAGAACGGCAAGTCTGTACTAACACCCCCAGAATTAGTGGCCATTTGGATCCAGGGAGTACACAAATTAGACCAGACTAGCTTCATTCATGGTTTTGTACTTTACAAACAGAATCTGATGATTAAGTTCATAAAACTTTCTCAACTTACCAGGCGTCACAGAAATAGCTGATATGAGTGGTCCATAGACTCCTCTAACAGGCATCCCGGTTGTCCCTTTTCCAGCCCAATAAAAGCGTATCTCCAATGTATTACCAGTTACAAAGGCAGTAAAATTCTTGATAATTGCCTTACCAACACCACCTGCTTCATTCTGGATGCTGAAATCCTTTTGTACAAGCTTTCCCTTCATTTTTTTTTTATATCAGAAAGAAATTAATAAAACTGAAAGGATAAACAATAAAATAAAAATTTGGGAGTTCTTTCAAAGTTCAAAAACTGAATGACAGATATATTTTGATTAGTCACCTGAATATAGATATCAAAAAATCGCCTGCCAAGGCTGTTGAATGTCTTGTCATTGGTAAACATTATCTCCGCAAAATGGAGGAAAACTGTGTAGCTCCCATTTCCCATACAGAAACCATAATAAGTTAGAGAGATTGGAGCAAGGCGTGCATCCATGTAGAGTGCTGAAGTATTTGCAGAGAGTTTAGCTGAATTCGTCCATGAATTCATCCATGTGTAGGTATCTGAGGGACGGTCATCGTCCATGAAGTAACCAGTGGTACTAACTGCCCAGTTAGTTCTACTATGATAGAATCTTGAAGGTCCGGCTGGATCTGTATCGTCTTCGTATTTGTTCCCTCCAATAGTTGCTTCATTTCCTCCACAATTTATGTGGAAGGAATAGAATTCTGTTGCCAGCAACAACTTATCAAATACCATGGAATAGGAACATACACTAAGCAAATGATTTTGTATAATACGATTATAAGCTTGACTTACGTTTTGGACAATGGAAGCTTCTTAAGCATGGAACAGTACTTCCACTGAGATACACCAAAAAACAAAAAATAAACGGCATCATATCTGAGTACAAGTTAGTACAAGAAATAGATAAGCTTAAGATGTCTGGAGTCTAAACACTCACGAGACGTTACCCATCGAAGCGCTCCCAAATAAGTTTCTGCAGGAAATCAGAGAAGCGAAAAAATTAGCTCTTACGCAAATTGCAGGTGAATGCATGAGAATGAGGGAACCATGGATAGAAAAAGAAAGCAGACCATAAAACTTCACTTTCTTACATTTTGCGCTGTATACATGAGCTTTCATTTCTGAAATTGTTGTAGGTAAGATCACTGCCAAAAGAAAGGTAGATATTCAGTTCAAGGTGGACAATGATCAAACAATTTATTGATCTCATATGTATTTGGGTAAGAGTGCCTAGTTAGTGTTAGTGGCTATGAACCTTTCTATTGTTCTCATGATCCCCCGATGCATAGAAATTTTAGTTTTAGGCATCAAATGTAGAAAAAGGTTACTACATGACTTAGTTATCCAAATGCAATCATTGGTGAGCCGCGATCCAAACCAAGTTTACTATCTTCTGAGCACAGTTGAATTTCCTAAATATCTAGGGAAGGTACTGAATTATGGCTTCTGTATCAAGAAAACAACAGGGAAATTCTGCAGCATATTTGTAAAACTACATAGATGACATATTGACATTAATGTTCATCAAAAATAAATCTAGACAGAAAGAGAAACCTTACACATATTCTCCTTGCTTTATTATCCAGTCAGGCACGGTCCCATTTAGCCGATTCCCCGTTAAATATCTAAGAACAATGAGTGCATCAATGAATGTAGATTTCAGGCAAAGTTTGTGCAATGGATATATATATATATATATATATATATATATATATAGCACAATTGTTCCTGTAGTTTATAGAACAGTAGTTGCAGGTGTTGGTTTGAAATATGACAATCGTTCAGGCGCCCCTTCAAACTAACGGTAAGAGTGAAGAAATAAAAAGTCATTTGCTTACATGTAATCTGTTTCTCTTATACCACTAAAGCTGCTTGGAATTTCTCCTATGAGTTTGTTAAAGCTGAGGTCTCTGCAAAAGAAACCATAACTAATGCTTAAAAAATTATTAAATCATTAATTAGAGAATGAACAAGCAACATAATAATAGGCACAATGAAAATGGGTCAATAACAATTTCAATTTACAAAATGGGTCAATAACAATTTCAATCTTTCCATTAGTCCCCGTTAATTCCACTAATAGAAAAACCATTTTTAAATTTCAAATCATCCATTTGGTTTCTCAAAACCGCTCCTTAGATTTGAGAGAATATGTCAAAAATTGACAAAAACATATCATCAAACCATTATAAATTTGAAAAGCAAGCTTCCTAATTTACGTTAATTTATACAAGCTCATAAAAGGAACACATATATATATAGATACTGACAAGGTTTTCAATTTGGTCAATTCACCAACATAGTCAGGTATTGGTCCAATTATATCACAACTCCTCAGTATCCTGCAGTATAAACCCATTATTCTTAATTAAGAAACAACATTGCAAGAAATTAATTGCATGAATATTTACTAGAAATTAAGCATTAACTCACAATGTCTTCAGGTTTTTCATACTACTTAATTGTGGAAATGGGGATTCAGGTCCATTGCCCAGATCACTGATTCTCCTGTATATCGAGTTAATGATAAGAGCCTTTTCCATTAGTCTTTTCGAAAGTTTTCAAATAATTTACAGAGTTTTACTCACAAATCAGTCATCTCTCCCAGAAGAGCAATGCCTGATGGAATTGGCCCACTTAGACCACTGCCTTGTATCCCTCTATCATATATATAGTCAAACATTAATTGGTTCAAATAAATAATCTGATATGTCATATCTCAATTGTAACATAATTCATACAGTTATAAATCATTAAAAAAAAAAAAAAAAAAAAAAAACCTTACAGTTTTTCTAGTTTTGTCCAATTTTGAATAAGATTCGGTATCTGACCTGCGAATTGGTTATCACTAATTCGACTGCACCAAAAAAGAAGGAAATATTCATATCATTTGATTCAAAATTTAACATTTAATTTGTGTCATAATAAACAATACTTCAAAAACTTACAAGTCCTTCAACGTGGTTAGCTTTGAAAACGTTGCTGGCAACAGTCCTGTAAAGTTGTTAGAAGATAACTGCCTGTAACATCAAACAAAAAATATTTTTAGTTAACGGTTATATATCATCATTCTAACTAAATTTCCATGGTTTTTTTTTTAAACAAAGCTCATTAGAAAAGTGACTTAAAAATTCCAGAAATCATTAGTTTACAAAAGTCTTTACATTTTTTCAATGCGAGCCAGATTTCCAAGTTCTGGTGGCAAAACTCCTGAAAGCTGATTGAATTCGACAGTGCTGCATGATTTTTTCACTCAAACCATTAAATCCACACAAATTTTTACTTAATTAAAAAAAAAATTAAAAGGAGAAAAGGATTGATCTCTTATATATCTTACAAATTTACAAGAGTGCTGATGTTTCCAATTTCTTTTGGGATTGGACCGGTTAATCGATTTCCAACAATAGAGCTGCATATAAATGATATTCGCTCATTTTTCTAGTTAATTTCACGTATAATTAAATAAATGGTATTAGAATATATGAAAAAAAAAAGGAAAAAAGAATGTACATGTTAACCAGTTGCGTGGCACCCCATTCTGGAGGGATGGTACCATTGAGGTAGTTACGTGTGAGGTCACTGTCAAAAAATAATAATAATAATAATAAATAAAAATCTTGGAGCTAAATTTGGTACAGAATTTACTCAAGAGCCAACTTACATTTCTAGGAGGTAAGGGAACCTGCCCAAATCCGGTGGAAGACTGCCTTCGAGATTCTGGGACTTGAGAACTCTGTATTTCAACAGTATTTAAGCTTTCACAGGTTTGACCGCTGGGCTGGGCTGGGCCGGGCCAGATATTAAATCATGCAGTATGTCCCATAGATTTTCATACCCCTACCAGTCTAATTAATATTTATGATGATATTATAAATAAATAAATAAATAAATAAACAAAAATAATTGGTAAACAACTTGGCCACTGGGCAGACAAATACAGTCAGTCCTCTTCTTTGTTTTTGGACTTTTGTCGCAATAGAAGGAAATCTGATTGGGCTACAGCCTACGCACTTTTCACACGACCAACAAGATCCTATACGGATAACATGTTTGACTTGTAAATGCACTTCTCCACGTTGTTTTGGTACAGCCACTCGTTTGATTTATAGAGTTAATTTTTTTAACTACTTCCACTACAACCATAGCTCACCGGATTGAGCATTTAATTTTAATTTTTTGTTTTTCAAAGAAATTTAATATTTGTAGCTATTGTTTATATATAAAGGAAGGAATTTTTTTGGCTATAAACCATGGCCAATTCTTGACATCACAGGTTCTGTAACCTGCTAGCGTATCTTAATTTTTGGGTTATTAATTTTTTTTACTAATATTATTTTGAAAGAATAGCTTTTAAAGGCTACAATACAATTATATAGCTGAGCAAGCTAAAATTGAATATTAAAATACCTTCTTTTCTATATCTATAAAAACAATAAAGTTCAAAGAAAAAAAAATCATTTTTCAATTTTCATCGATTGTTATCTGAATTATAATGAGGCTTGTAATAAATTCTATACCTTTATTGGAATTACCTCCCCCATAAACTTGCATATGCACAAGAATATTTGGAAAATCATTTAAGTTTTTTTTTCCCATCCTTTTTCGAGTGTATCTTTTTAAGGCAAATTATGGAACGAATGCCCAGTCTCAAAGAAATCTCGAAAATTATGTTTGGCCTGGGATAATTAATCAAGGGCTTTCGCTAGCTGGTAACAATAGAAAAAAAAAAAAAACAAAAAAACTTAAAAGTTATCTACTAGAGAGAGAAAGAGAGTTACACGCTAATGACATGGCAGATGGTGCCATTTGAGAAGGTGCAGTTACAGGTTACGCCATTTTCACTTCCTTTCTCTGGATTTGGATCAGCCCAACCCCATTGACCACCACAAGGATCAGCACTAAAGTTCCAATTCGTCTTGCCTATTGTCTTTGCTATGTCACGTAGAGCTTCCACTGTAAATATTTAAATGATTAAATTAAATATACTAATTAATAAAAATATACTATGATTTCCCCAAAAGCAACCGATCGAATGAAATTATACTTAATAAAAGGCAAACTAACTGGCTATTACCTTCATCGTCGGGTAATAGAGTAGCCCCAAAAGCAAATCTTGCGAGACAAAAGGCAATGAAGGAAGCAAAAAGAAGCCTAGAGAAGGACATGATAAATGTTGAAGAGGTATGCGTACGTATTAACCCTCACACATTCGAAAGAAAAGTGGCCTGAGTTTTTATAAATAAATAATTTTGATACAAATATATAGGTATAATTTGTAGTAGGAAATTATACTGGCAGTTCAAAGTTTAGCGTGAAAGAGTGTACGGAGTCAAAGAGAGAAAGAGGCTTGCTTTTAGAGAGAAGGGACTAGGTAGACTTTGAACAGTACACAACAAACGAAGTCAGCTGCTGGTGTAGGACCATGACCAACTGGCTGTGTACTATTTTACTGTTCGGATTGAATAAATAAAATTATTTAATTTTTGTTATGAAATAATGAATGTTTATCACATATTTCTCTATTTTTCATATCTTATTATTTATGATTTTTAATATGATTCAATTCATCATTCAATATGAGAAATTGAAAGAATAGTACAATTGATTATTCATATTTCCTTCTAATTCTCTTATCAAATTTGAAGCTTATAAATATGTTTGATTGTTTATTAGTTGGTATACAAATTTTTTAGAAAAAATAATAGAAACTTTGAAGTTTTTAATACTTGTATTCACATTATAGTGATTTTATTTCTTATCATCCTTTCTTTCAATTATCCTATTATTTCAATTTTTTTATAACATGTTATTAGCACGAAACTCTAACCAATCGAGACAATAGATCATGAGGTATGTATCTATCAAAAGACTTAATTATTTGTTTCACCTATTGGATTTCTTCTACACAAGTACTCTACCAAAAGATCTAAATTATTTAGATCATTAAGAGGTATGTATCTAATTTATCACGTACTTTAAATATAATAATATGTAGAATATACATTTGAAAAACTTAAATAATTTAATATATAGAATCTAATGATCTAATATATGTTATTTGAAATTTTATTATTATGTTTGTTCTTATTTTCTAATATTATTATTATATATTGTATTATAGAATTTTTATCATATCAAACCTCATAAACTTGATTTTGCGACTTTGGATATTTTGAATAAGAATTATTGATTATGAGTGCTTGATTTTGAAAAAATAGTCTCTACTTTTTATGTCTTGAATGCTCCTACGGTAGCATATCGAGAAAAAAGTTTAAGAAATATTTTGAATCGATTTTATAGTTGTTAATGGCTAAATAAAATGAAAAGCTATTGATGAAAAAGAATAAATCTTGTCCAATTGAATCTACTCCATTCCCCGAAAAGAATGTGACAATTTATAATAATTTTAGACATAGATGAAGATGTGATCATAGCCATGGACGTGGTTGAAATAATTGTCATTATAATCGTGATGACCATAATATTACATCTCACCACCGAAGTGGATAACTATGAAAAAAAAAGATGAGTAAAAATAGATAAAATCGGTATTCGAAAAATAAATATTATAGATATAGAATGAATGAATATTGATCGTGTACTTTCCATACACCAAAACACCTCATTGAGCCTTATCAAGCCTTATTGAAAAATAAAGAGTAAAATATGAAGACCACTTGTATATATCAAATAATAGTAATTGAAATTAATTACTTGTTAGTTTTTCTATTTATAAATAAAATATTTTATATTCCTTATAATTTATATCGTAAAGTGATGGTTATAAATTTCTTTTACTATTTATTTATTTGTTTGTGTTTATGAGAAATATATATATTTATTTATTTTATATTGATTTATTTGATTATTTATTTTATGTTAATATTATTTATTATAATATCAATCTAATAGAAAGCTCTAGAAGAGCGACTATATTATTATCTAAAAACATAAATTTTGAAGGCTCTGAAGAGCGATTATATTATGACCTAAAGAAATAAATTTTTGAAGCCTTGAATAGTGTATATATTATTACTTGAAGAGATAACTTTTAAAGGCTCTAGAAGAGTCAATATATTATTACTTGAAGTGACATAATTTAAAGGCTCCGGAAGAGCAAATATATTATTATTTGAAAGGATAAATTTTATTATAAATGATGTACTATTATCTTCAAAGTCTCATAGAAATTTATTAAGTTTCAAAGATATTTATCTAAATTGATATCATATCAAGACAACAAATGTGAATACTTATATAGTATAATCATTATACCGGATAGAAAATATATATTAAAAAATGTACATGCTTTCTCTTCTACTATTTATTATAAATATTGAAATAATTGAAACAAATGCTATAGTAAACCACAAGTTTACTAATTCAAATACTTTTATTATGTGACTTGACCTGTTGTGTTATCCTAGGTTTTTCATGATGCACAAAATTATTAAAAATTCATATGAATATGTATTGAAAAGTCAAAAGATTCTTTAATTTAATTAATTTTCATGTTCTACATGTTGTCAAGGCAAATTGATGATTAAGTCATCACTAAGTAAAATTGAGATTGAATCTCTAGTATTTTTAGAATGTATTCAAGGTGATATATACGGATCAATTCATCAACCATATGAACCATTTAAATATTTTATAATTTTAATCGGTGCATCCATAAGATGATCACATATATGCTTATTATCTACTCGAAACCCGACGTTTTCAATATTTCTAGTAAATAATTTGATTTCAAGCATAATTTTTAGATTATGTCATTAAAATACGTCACTTTGATAATGTCGGTAAATTTATTTCTCAAGCATTAAATTATTATTGATTGGCTATTAGAATAAAGGTTGAATAGCCCGTTGCTCATGTTCATACTTAGAAAGGTTTAGCAAAAATCATTTATCAAAATGCTCCAATTAATAGCTAAACCATTATTTAAAAATAAAACTCCCTATTTATGTCCGAGGACATGTAATCTTACATGCAGCAACACTTATTCACATTAGATCCATAAGTTATAAAAACTTATCTCCTCTTCAATTAATTTATGGTCATGAGCTAAATATTTTTTTATTTAAGAATTTTTGACATTACAAGTGTGTATCCATAGTGCTCCTTCATAACAAAATAAAATGGGCACTTAAAGGAGCTTGAAAATATTTATCGGATTTGAATCTTTTTTCGATAATTAAATATCATGAATCATGAATAAGTGATATTTTTACGACTTAATTTATTGACTCGTCATTTTGATGAAATAGTTTTTTCAACATTAGGGGGAGATAATAAACAACATAAATAGTTGGAAATGTTAAAAAAAAAAGGACATTATATAGAGTACTCTATCTTTATATCAATTTGGTACAAAACAATATGAACTAGAAGTTCGAAGATAATTCGTTTACAAGGTATTACAAACCAATCGCTAGATGCATTCTCATATCCTAAAAGAGTAATTAAAATGCATGTTCTTGTTCAGAATGCTTCTATTAGAATTGATATTCTAGAAGGATAGTCTATAAATGTTATAGCTAATAAAGATAGAGTACTTTAAAGCACGCCCGAAGCGTGGAAGACCTATTGGTTCCAAGATTAAAATCTCCAAAAGAAAAGAGCAAGATGAAAATATTCATAAAATGATCCAAGATATTTCTAGTAATATGCTTCCAGAAGAAGTCCAAATGCTTGAGAAAAATCAAGAGATTTTGATAAATTATGTCAATACATGGAGAAAATAGGACCAAAAAGAAACATCTATTGATAAGATTTTTACATATAATATTGCAATTGATATTTTGAATGAAAATAAGGATCCCGAGCCTAAATTGTTGAAGAATGTGGACATAAAAATGATTGGTCTAAATGAAAAGAGCAATCAAAACAAGCATTATATTCACTTATAAAAGAGTTTTTTTTTTTTTGAATCCATAGCTAAAACACTCGAAGATGTTAAGCTAGTAGGATACAAATATGTATTTATGCAAAAAAATAAAATAAGAAAGATAAGATTGTAAGATACAAAGTAAGACTTTTAACACAAGAGTTTTCGTAAAGAATCGACATTGACTATGAGGAGACATATTCTCCTATAGTGGATGCAATTATCTTTTGTTATCTCATTAGTTCGACAAAATATATGAAAAACATTCATATGTATGCATTTAATGAATGTGATCACGGTTTATTTGTTCATTTGAAATGATATCAATATGAAAGTCTTAAAAAGACTTAACATGCCGAAAACATGTAATACATATTCTTGAGAAAAGAATTCAATTAAATTATAGAGATCTCTATTAGGATTATTTTAGTTTATAGAAATTCAATTTATACTATATTTTTTATATTTTATTTTTATATCTACTATTTATTATTAACCCGTGTGGATGTGATATAATCATTTCAATTATTATTTATTGAAAGAAAGTTATAAAAAAAACTTTATTTGTTCATATATTTTTATTTGAAAAGGGGTTTGTTATATATGTTGATGACTTAAATATTATCGAAACTCCTAAAGTGATTTCAAGTGTCATAAGTTATCTAAAAAGAGAATTTGATGTGAATACCTTGGAAAAAAATGTTATCTCGACTCGTAGTTCGAGTACTCGGAGAATGAGATTTTTATTCATCAATCAATTTGTATAAAAAAAGGTTCTATAATGATTCTTTATAAAGATCATTCATTGACTAGCCCAATGGTAGTTCATTCACTTGATATCCAAAAAGGTCCTTTTCGACCTCGAGAAGATAACGAAGAGTTACTTGGTCCTGAAGTACCATATCTCTATATCACTAGTGCATTGATATATCTTGTTAATAATACTCGACATGATATAGTTTTTTCTATAAATTTATTAACAAGTCATAGTTTTATTTCAATACGGAGATAGTGAAATAAAGTTAAAAATATACTACGTTATCTTAAAGGAATAATTGATATGAGCTTATATTACTCCAATAAATCAAAGACAAGATTAATTGGTTATACGGATGCGAGTTATTTATCCGATTTATACAAAACTCGATCACAACTGGTTATATATTTACATATAGAGATACAGCTATATTTTAGCGTTCTATGAAGCAAACTATAGTTGCCACATCTTCAAATCATGCGTAAATATCAATTCATGAGATAAGTAGAGAATGTGTT